TTCTTCATGTCTTGCAGACTAGCTGATGCCTCCCATAACTGGCTCGTGAGGTCAAAGAAGCTGATGGCAGCAACTGGATCGCTCGGACCCAGCCCCTACCTGACTTGGAGGCCTGGGGGACACAGACACGAAGCACAGCTTCAAAGGTGCGTTGACGGAGAGAGAGACGAGAAGAGGTCATTGTTCCCACACAGCGGGGGGCCTCTTGAAGGTGCCCCGACCAGAGAAACCTGAGCAGCTGGATGTGGATCAGGAAGAGGCCCCGCGGCTCAGTCGGCAACCTACATGTTGGAATCGCACGCCGAGAATCTCCGAGAGGTTGTAGTGTTCTCATAAGTAGATCCAAGATGCAGTATGCGCAGTGTAGCATGCCTGCGAGCCTTGCACACATAGGGGCACAGTTTAGTATTTCGAGACAGGAAAGGACTCGAGATGTAGTCTTGAAACAAAGAAGACATGCATGGGGTGTCCGATGACAGAGGTCAGAATCGAAAGAGCAAGGGGAGACCAGGACTGCGCAACCGACTGCGACCCTGATGTCCTGGACGAGACCCCTGACGAGGAGCGCAGCGCGACGATTTGCAAGCAGTACTTGCCGTCTTGGCATGTGGGCTGGATCGTTGTACAGCGAGTGGTGTGCACGGCAGGCCGCAATGCAGTGGCAGCTAAATGCGCTGACTGCTGGAAAACGCGGATGCGATGTTGTCCAGTGCTTCGAGATGCAGCGTTGTCCAGATTTCGTTATCTGTCCGTGCTGTTACATGCTGGGGGTTTGAGAGGGCGGGTGGCGGCAGGGCCGCTTGCATGGATGACGGCGGGTGATCGGAGACCGGCATGACCATGCAAAAAAGCAAACCAACTCAACTAGCAACGCAAGAACTGGATTTGCACTTGTGTCTCATGGCTCCGGGCTCCACCTGTTTGATAGCAGTCCCTGCAGAACATAACGGGGCATGACTTCAACAAACATATCCGAACGGCTCGATTTCTTAGATTTAAGAAAACGAGGGGCACGATTTCTGATTTTAGTCGGTTCTGGGCTTGCCTAATAAGGGCTTAATAAAGCCTTAAGAACAGCTTTGGACGGCTCTAGAGGCTTTGTAAGGGCTTAATAAGGGCTTGAATAAGGCTTTGTCATATAGGACAAAACCACCAAAATGAGAAATTGAGAGGCTCGATTTCTTAGATTTACGAAAACGAGGGGCTCGATTCCTTATTTTAGTGGGTTCTGGGCTTGCCTAATAAGGGCTTGATAAGTAGGCCTTAATACCAGCTTTGGAGGGTTCTAGAGGCTTTGTAAGGGCTTGATAAGGGCTTAAGTTAGGCTTTGCCATATTTAGGAAAAAAGCCACCAATATAAGAAATTGAGGGGCTCGATTTCTCTCTTCGGGCCGTTCTGATAAGAGCTGGGGAAAACATGGGATTGATATGATGGCGTTTCGGGAGTCTGAAGGATGCCATGCCCGAGCGGTGGAAAGTGCTGTAGGCTCGAAACCTCCTGTGCTCCCAGTTCTTGGTTTGCTTTGTTAGGGTTTGGCGCCGAGCTTCTGGAATACGAAATCTACTCCCTCTGGTTCTTGGTTTCCTTTTTTGTGCGAACAACACCAGCAAACACAAAATGATAAGAGCAAAATACGAAATTGGCACGCCGAGTCCAGGGTACCCTGGATTTCTTACTTTGAATAGCCGCATTTCATTCAGATTTTTTTGTCACGCGGCTGTCCGAGGGGCTCAGTTTCTCAAACCAATGATTTCTTAAGCAGTGCTGTTGCTGTACTACTACTACTACTACTACTACTACTACTACTACTACTACTACTACTACTACTACTACTACTACTACTACTACGAGGACGACGACAGGCAGAAATATGCAGCGATCCCTCCCCACAGCGTTTGCCTGCCTGCGTGAGGACGCACGGATCTTCTGCGAGCAGCGGTGGGAGGACCTCTTCCGCTCGATCTGGAGGGTGGAGTCGGTGGAGTTTCTCTAGGGCTGTCAGGGCTGTGCGCTGGGCGTCCGCAGTGTTTTTGTGGCATGTTGAACAAGTGGCAAGCGCGATGCAGACCTCTGCAAAGGTGGTCTCAAATCCTGACTCCGTTGTTAGCGTACTGTTTACTACTGCCACCGGCAACCCCTATCCAGGAAGCAGACATCGTCGTTGCCACTGAGAGTTCGAAGGCCAGACATAGCCAAGAACAAGCTTGCAGCAGGGAGGTCGTAGCCACCACACCCTTCTAGAACTTCTAATTACCCCCAGGCCCCAGCATCGTGCGTGAGTTCAAGGAGTAATTCTTTATGACGAAGCAAGCTTCAGATCTCGGCTTTGTTGCAGCTTTCTTTGAAGAGATTGGATTCGGCGGGATTTGGACGGGGAGTTTGGTGGAGGCCGCGGACCTGGAGCTCCTGCGGGCGCTGGACGCCCGGGAGGAGGCCGCGGACCTGGAGCCAAATGAGACGCCTCGGGCATGAGAAAGTTGGGAGGCTGGGGCGGACAGCGACTCCGACGCCAGCACCGCGCAACTCCAAGCCATCGTTCCCGCCGCGGCTGAGCCTACAGGAACAGGCGAAGCTGTGCAGGCGGTGGCAGCAGGGATTGGAAGCTCGCGATAACAGTCTGCACAGCATCCCAAGCAAGTGCAGGTGGGGACAGACCCCATGGCCGTCCCAGACCACGTGCATTTGGGCAAGTCTGTTTGTGCGTGAGAAGTCTTTGAGTCCGCCCGAAGTATTTGGACTTGTTGGAGACTGAGGGTTCGTGGGTGGGTTTGCCTGCTTGTACATTAGGTTGGGAAGATCTCGATCGTCTTGAGTCGGTCCTTGGCATGCTAAGCCAGCGACAATCCGGTTCGAATAGCACATCGATCGGTCTGTGTTGTGCTCAGTGCCAAGAAAACTGCCTCGAAAGAGTCGCGTCATCCATCCAGGTCTGTCCAGATTGGTCGCGTGCGACTTTCTAGCAGGTTGCAGACGAACCTGGCACAACAAGAGAATTTAGCAAAAGCACCTGCCAAGCAAAGGCAAGGACGCAGCACACACGAGCTTGCACTCGGTGATCACTGCTTCTGCCAGGCATCTGAGGATCCATACCTGTAGCAGACGCCGGCAAAGATCCCCTTGGCTGCCGTCTGCGGCCGCAGGCATGAAATCACGAAAGCTAGCCTCCGTGGCTAGCTGAGTTCCTTACCAACCGAAAGGTTGCATCTAGGGGTGTGGGGAAGGGCCCCCGGCCAGGTGGGCATTTTTTGCGCGTATTCGGGGCTATCCCCCACCTGGTGCTGGTTTTCTGCGTTTCCCCGCCGGGTCCGTTTTGGGGTGTTTGAATGTGGTGCTTCGGACCGCTTCCGAGTGGAAAAACTGCTCCCCGATGATGCTCATGATGCGCGTTTGTTGGCCCCAGGAAGCTCCCAATGATGCTCGTGATGCGGGCTTGTGGCTCGGATTGGGCTCCAATGATGTTCGCGATGTGCGCTTACTGGCTCCGATGCTTATGATGCTTGCAGCTCATGATGCTCATGCGTCGCCTACTTGTTCTATGTTGGGCACCCGACCTGAAGCCATTGGCTTCTAAGCATGATATACACATGTATTTATGGTATGTTTGTGTATATGTACATATATATATACATATATATATATATATATATATATACGTGTGCATGAAGCTCTGATCCAACCTCTTCCATATACTGTTTTTTACTATTTCCGCGCTTGTTGGCTCGGATTGGGATCCAAGAGGCCCCCAGTGATGTTCACGATGTGGCTTGCTGGCTCCGCTCACGCGTCGCGTACTTGTTCTATGTTGGGCGCCCGACCTGAAGCGATTGGCTTCTAGGCATATATAACATGTATTTATCTTAGTTCTCCAATACAAAACGTTTAAACTTTTGGGGTTCTTATAGTTTAGCAGTAGTTTGAAAGTTTAACCTTTTATTTCTGTGGCTATTGGGGGAGTAAGTTATGGTATGTTTTTGTATATGTATATATATATATATATATGTGTGTGTGTGTGTGCATGAAGCTCTGATCCAACCTCTTCCATATACTGTTTTTCTACCATTTCATAATTTCATACTATACTAGTACTCGAATACACAGTCATATGTAATAGCAGCTGCATCTCGACGAACAAGAAGCGCAAGCAGAGCATGGCTTGGCCCGGTGGGTGTCACCCACATTGAGGGGGATGGTATTGGTGCTCATTCGAGGGGTTCAAGAGTTAGGGTTTCTGTATTTGGAGTTCAATTCAGTAGGCGTGTATGCATGCTTGCCTTCACTGGAAAAGCCTCGGTTGTTGACGCTTCTAGCTTTCGTCCCAGTCCCTCCTCCGCAAGTTCGGAGCGGTTCAGAGCCAAGACGGCAGCAAAGGAGAAGGGAGGCGGAGCTGACTGGGTTCCAGGGCGGCGGTGCAGCCTGCGGCGAAAAATGCTGTTGGAAGCCTTGCTTGGTCTTGCCTCAGCGCTGTGAGGGCGTTTGTGCACAGGGCCTAAGCCTAAGCTCCTGCTGTCGAGACATGCAAACTCGATGGCGTAGTTGAAGAACTGTCAGCTGAAGCCCTTTCGTGTTGGGTTGAGTCTGCAATACTTTGCGCACCACATTCCAAGCGGAGTTTCGGCAGTTCTTCAAGAAGCATCATGGACAGGTTGATGCTTGCCGGCGATGTTTACCTTGTGGATAGACAGTGTTGCGCGTAGTAGTGCAACTGGCTGCAGTCAGATGTCAATATTGCCTTGTTTGTAAACTATAAAGGCCTGAGCAGGAGGCAAAGCATCGCGAAACTCGGAGCGTAACATATTAAGTATGCAGTATCACGGCTGCCGACAGATACTTCCGGTATCCACTTCCCTCCCAGAGACCATCTTCTCATGCTCCGTGCCGTCTCGAAAGTATTGTCATCGCCAAAAACAAGAGTTTAGGAGGTTGATTAGGGCTGCGCATGAGGCTTCACCCGAGAGGCTTCACCGAAGATCAGAGAAGCCGTGCTCGTAGCTGAGACGAGGCCCTCAGCCTCTCATCGCGGCAGGCCGAGCTCCACAGGCACGAAGACAAAGCTGAGCCCACGCGTAGTCCCTGCAGACCGCAGACTGCTTACCTTACTGCTGACGAAGGTGGAACCTGTCGGTGATGCGGAGCCTTGTGCGAAGGCGCCGAGCGGTATGGAGCAGGATGGATGTCGCCCGCAATGGCAGCATGACTGAGCTTTCTGCAGGGGCTCTCTCAGCGGTTTCGCTGCAAGATCTGCCAGGCCTTGCCCCTTGCATATGGTATATGGGAGCTTGGATCCGTTTCTGATACGAACCTGACAGGTCTTGACCCATGCTGAAGTGGTGGAGGCATTGTCTTGCTCATAAGTGTTGACTCTAAGCTGCAGCTGCGCTCGGCTTCACCGCAAGCCCCAGACTCCAAACCGTTCGCCTCCCTGCGCTGCTCAAAGACAAGAGATGTGTCTTCATGGCATGTCATAGCATGTCCGAGACCGCCAACCGCACATCTATCGTTGCCCCACTCAACCTGAGCATTCGACATCAGAGCTTCCTTCGTGAGCCGGCAGCAGTTGCGCGCAAGCCTAGATATGCATGTCGCAAGCAGGGGATCTTTCCCGACATTGCAACGTCATAGCCATGAGTTCCATGTCGCATGGTCCCGACATGTGTCTCGGCTTTGAGAGTTTGGCCATTCTTCAGTCTTCCCGAATGTTGTGGCAGTGCAGACTTGTGGTGAAGCTCAAAGCAGCGCGATCGGAAGGGAGGTGGTTCTATGCCTCTGCAAGGGGGCCTCTCTCTTTCACTTGACACGCCGTTCCTAGGCAGGCCTTGCCTTCTGAAGGCGCTGGTCCTGGTCATGACAGGCCCAGGGCCTCAGGGCCCCAGGGCTGGGGAAGAGTTTGAAGTCCCCACGGTTCTGCTCGCAGTGCTGGGACAGCCCGGTGCTGGGCAGGTCGACCTGTATGTCCGACATTGCAGCAGCTGCCGGGAAACTCCTGGGCTGTCTCGTGGACAAGCCGTCGCCTTAGCATGTCCTCGTTCAGGGCACCTGACATGATTACATGCTTGCAAGACAGTCGGGCAATTGCGGTAGGCACACTAACAGTATGCTTCAGCTTCCCTGCCTCAATCAGTGAGTTTCAGCCGATCTGCTCGCAGGCATGCTGAACTAATCGCCACGCCAGAAGCCTCCTCTTTTAGCTGTCTCCCACGTGCCGAGGCAGAAAGACTTTCAGGTTTCCAACGACGACGACGCTTGTCAAAATGGTGCAAACGCCGATTACACGAGCACGCTGGGGATGACTTGTGTTCATACTTGCAGTACTGCTCACATTCAGCCTGTCGCTGCTGATGATGACGACAACGGTATTCATGATGGTTCTGTCCCCAGTGCTGTTGATGATGGTGGAAATGATGACTTGGAAGCTGGCGGCGGACGAGGATGATGATGCTGATGATGACGATGACTGTCGATGATGACGATGATGATGATGGAATGGCGATGATGATTCCGATGATGGTGATGTCGAAGGTCATGTTGTTGATGATCATGACAGTGCCTCTGCTGGTCTTGATGCCGAAGAGATTACATCTCCCTGTTGTGTATTGCGGCGAGGGGGGACGACAGCAACGGGTGGTTGTAGCGGGGTTTCGGATGGCGGCCTCGGCGGTGGCAGTACTGGTTTTGGTGTTGCCACTGGTGAAGGCTTCCATGAGAATCTTAACAGCAGCACTAGTCACTAGTAGTGGTAGTCGTCGTCGTGGTCGTTACAGTCTTAGTTGCAGTCGCGTTGTGGCACCAGTGGTGGGAGCAGCAACCAGCCGACCGAATCCCTCATCCAGTGCCACCCCGCTTCGGCAGCAGCACCTGCCCTGTCGTTAGACAAGACTTGGTGGCGGCCCGGCTCGCGCCAAGCAAGGGCCGTGAAGCCGGCTTTTCCTCATTTTTCCTCCCTTGCGCCAGCTTCAGTATCCACGTTCCCAAAGCTGGCTGGCTCCATGTCGTCTAGCGAAGTTTTGGGCCTCGCAGACGCCCCTGACGATTTCCGAATATGCCTGGGATGAATTCAGACGCTGGGTGTCCTCTTGCAACAGTGTTGCAATCGCCTGCACGTGTGGAGGCGAAGTCACCATTAAAGGTACCTTCGACTGCATAGCCTTGTTGCTGCCGATGCGCAGAGCTTTATGCCCTCTCGACGATTTGCCGGAGCCACTGCGTTGGAACTGCTGTTTGCAGGTTGCGGTTCGCGGCCGAGCCTAAGGCTATGTATGTCAAGCACCATCTCGGTGGTGCTAGTAATGTAGATTATGAAGAGGAGTAGGAGTGAGGATTGGAGTAGGAGCAAGGGGAGGAGCAAGAGCAGTAGCTTTAGCACGGTGATGGTTGCGGCAGTGGGTGGGTGGCTGATATTGCTGACGGTGATTCCATGTTGTACGCTATGCTGGTGTTGGTGCTGCTGCTTCTGGTGCCATCGCTGCTGCTGGTGCCACCGCTGCTGCTGGTGCCACCGCTGCTCCTGCTGCTGCTGCTGGCGGTGGCGGTGGCTTTGGCGGTGTTGGTGGTATTGGTGTTGGGGTCGGTGTTGTTGACGGTGAGGTTGATGTCGATTGGTCAAGGATAATCTTGGAGATGACGATGATGCTGATGCGGCTGCTGATGACGATGATCATACTGCCAATGTGACGACGACGTGATAATGCTGTGATGGTGGTGTGATGAAGAAGATGATGATGACGGCGATGATGATGGCGATGATGATGATGATGATGATGAAGGCCCCGGCAAAGGTCGTCTTGGTGCGTGGAGGTGCCAATGATGTGTACTTCTTTTGCGTTTGGTCTTGTATGTATTTTGTATTTCTTTGCTTTTCATCGTCCTGGCAGACATTTTGTCCCTGGTTTGGCTGTTTCCCCTGTGTTTGTCATAGCTTGAGTGTTGTTGTTGCTGCCGTCATCGGGATCAAGGTCATGATTTAATGATAATCGTCATCATCAGCTTCAAATGCACCAATCGCATACTACGGATGTCATCATCGTTATCAGTCCTATTTTTTCGGACTGACTAGAAATTGCCTATGAAGAAGTCTAGTGGGAGCGCTCCGTCAACACCATATTGTCATCGCTGTCAACATTATCATCGCTTGCTGCACCCGTGCTGCCACTGTCAATAAGGATAATGGTGCTTATAGCTCTTACGACGGGGATCATCAACGAGCTGCAGGGTCCAAATCATGTGCTTGAACTTGCCTGTGCTTGCACGGTTGGACAAATGCTTCCGTGCAGTACGATCTGCAGCATGTGCGCTCTAGACTCTAGACTAGACAAATTGATTGCCGCAAACATCTAAGGACAAACTGTGCAGCGCTCAGTTTTGCAGGATGGCTGCGAGGATTCTGCCAATTCACAAGTTCTTGAACTTGAAAGTGACCCAGGAAGTATGGAAGATGTGCATGCTTCTTCAATTTCATGGAAGTGGGGCAGGACCGAGCTGCAAAAGCCGTGCCGTAGCGACCTGAAGGCCACTGGCCGCCTTCGTTGCCTGTGTTGTGAGGAGTGCAACGTGAGCACCGATGACTTCAAATCCCAGTACTCCTATGCGCTGAGCCACCCCGGCCTGTGGGCCTTCAAGCATACGTGGCAGATTGTTCGAGGAACTGCGCTCGTTTGTGTAAGGTTTTCAACCGAGCATGGAAACCCCGACAATCCAAGCATACATAACTGTATGGTCGACATGGCAGTGCTGCATTCCAACGGGAGCGATTTAGACATGCAGTCTCAGCATGGCAGGCGACGATCAGATCGACGAGTCTACATCCCAGGAATTGGCTAGCGAATATCCTGGATGTAGAGCCATCAGTTTGCACACGACCATGCTGTGGTCTGGACAAGGTGCCGGAAGTATTGGGCCGCAGCAACCTCAGCTGTCCTCTGAATATCTTATCAACCCAAGACTAACCCAAGCATTTTCCCCTTCGTCTCCATGCAGTTCATGCATCCCCAAGTCCCCCAGAGGCCAAGATTCCCCATGTTCCAAGTTCTTTTTGCCGAGATGACGGCCCCATCACTGAATCTGTTTTTCGGATCGCATTGAGTCGCTGTTGCTAGCTGATGTCGGAGTAGATTTCTGTAGCTTTTTGAGACGGCTGCACCGAGCTCGAGGCCTGGAATCTGCGGACCCGCGAGGTCAGCTTCTGGCCTCGAGCAGAATGGCAGTGATCTTACAGCTGCGGTTCGGCCGATACTAAACTGGTAGTAGTTGCAGATGAAGTGTCTGGTCCATAGTATGTGGTCGGAGCAGTTGGTACCGCTTTTCTTGTGACTCGGGGTTCAGCACTCAAGGTCCTAAGTCCTAGGTCCTAGGCGTAGAGAAAGTTGAAGATCCTACTTTCATAGGCGATGTTGAGACCTGCACCATGACAAATTCTGAGGTATATGCTCCATCTCATCATCATGCACCATGCATCTATCCCTAAGTCATAGACGACGTCTCTCAGTCTCTCTCTCTCTCTGCTCTCTGAGGTGGGAGTCCTGGCCTGGCGTTCTCGCTCAGTGTTTGATGGCCAGGAGCTGAGAAGCTCGCTTTCGCAGGTTTTCGCAGGCCTTCAGAGATTCGGTGACCCTCCGTTTTTCTTCCCACATCTTCCTCTAAGTCAGAGGCTGCTAGTAAGGTTGCACGAACCACCTGCATCTGCTACTTTACTCCAGAGGTGTTGGAGGTCCTAGCCGTGCCAGGTTAGGTCTTCTTCGCTTGCTGAGATCCCGTCGGTGGCCATCTTGCTCAAACACCTGTCCTAGAATCTACTTTCTCAGCTTGCACCTCCAACCCCAGGCACTCCTAAGACTGCAGGTGGTCCTGATCCTGATCCTGCTCATGTGGCTGTGCAGCGCCCTTAAGTATGGCTTCCACAGCCGTGTCTGATCTGCTGGGCTGCTGGGCATTGTGTTCTCAATGAGCTTCAATCCGGCGGAGATGTTGCCAGGCCCCAGAGGCCAAGAGACCTGAAGCTTTAGGCTCTGACTCTGGAAAGCGAGGTGAAGATGTCATCAGAGGCTTCATCAATCGAGCCGAAGGTACAGCACGCTCCCCAGTGCCTTCCACTTCTCGGGCCTCTTGGAAAAAGACAAGCACTGATAATGGAGCCGGGCCACTTCACGGGTCAAAGGGTAGCAGCTGTCGGAGCTCTATAGAAAATCTAGGAAGAGTGTTACTGCTTCTTCGTTTTTTCTACTCCTACTGCCACTTTGACGACTACTGTTGCTGCTAGTTCGCGACTCTGCACTACACTCCACCTCACAACAAGACACTACACTGCGCGACACTACACTGCACTGCACTACACCCCCTACGA